CTTGCAATCCTGCCCATGGACGGTATTTGACTGCGGCAGTCATGTTCCGTGGTAAAATCTCTTCGCAAGAGGTGCGTTCATGCGGGGTTAGACGATGTGTTTGCTCATATCGATTCAGGCCCAAGCTGCCGTCCAATCGTTGCAAACAAAAAACTCGAGCTCGTTTGTCGAGTACGTCATTTCCAAATAAAGTTTCCGTCCTATATTAACGCCAACACAGATGGATTCCCGATAATGTATCGATTTGTGAGTTGGCGAGATGTCTGAAATTTTAGGCTCTGTTGACATGTATTCAGCCCTGTGCGATGTTCCGCCACCGGGAATGGATCGATTCGGTACCTGCTTGAGCAACACGGTAAGCAAAAACAACTCAATCATTGGTCTTGACAGCTCACGATCCTTCTCAGACGGCTATTCAAGAAGTTTTCAAGAGGACCCACTCTCAGGTACGTGCTTGCCATTTCAGGTCAGACTATTGCTGACAAGTTGCCGGTAGTTTGCTTCGATGTTCAAGCGATCTGCGTTTTTGCATTGGTACACTGCCGAGGTAAGGATTATGCTCTTTGGGCGACCGTGACTCATTCTGTCGTAGGGAATGGACCAAATGGAGTTTACAGAGGCTGAATCCAACTTGATGGATCTGGTTGCCGAATATCAGCAGTACCAGGATGCGCTGTACGTGTTTCGTCATCCGCATATATATAGTGCTAATGACCATCAAGTGCGGTCGATGACGAAGAATACGAAGATTCCGGTGCATACGAGGTGGACGCCCCCAGCGAGGCATACGAGGGGCAGAGCTACGCCGAGACTGAGCAATAACAAAACCGGAACTGCCTATTATTCTACACCCTCTTTAGTACCCAAACAGTGTTTTCTTGCTGTTTTTCGCTCTTTTACTATATCCCACAGGCAGTAATCCAATAGTATCGGCTTTAATAGGAGTTATTAGTGATCAAGTGGCGCTTTGCTCTGCTTCGCGCTATTATCAGAAACTGCTCTCATATAAGAATCTACTCTCACACTGTGCTCTCACACGAGCCACGATGGCTACGTTTGCAAAGTCTACGTTCAACGCCGCGTCCTATGCCTCGTTTAGGCCGACATATCCTAAATCACTCTATGATTTTATATACGGCTATCATGCCCAGTCGGGACGTGCGGGGTGGGACAAGGTAGTGGACTTGGGGTGTGGGACAGGTTCGGGTAGTGTGCTCCGTTTGATGGCAAACGCTTATCATGTGCTAGGGCAAGCGACGGTCGTGGTCGCTGAGCGTTTCAGGCAGGCGGTAGGATGTGATCCGTCCTCAGGAATGGTTGAAAACGCCCGATTGGCCGTCGAGCAGATGGACAAAAACAAACCGACGTTTGAAGTTTCTCCGGCTGAAAAGCTTTCATTCTTAAAAGACGAGTCGGTGGACATGGCTATTGCGGGTTTGTCGAGCCATTGTTTGGCCACTTGATTCTGACTGTTTGTACGGCTAGCCCAGGCAGCCCATTGGTTCGACTATAAGCAACTGTTTCCGGAGCTCGCGCGGGTGCTCAAACCTGGGGGAACGGTCGCGGTTTGGAACTACAACGAGCTCAGGTTCAGGGGGAAACCATCGCTGGATCATCTGATATCAAAGTATTCGCATGGCGAGGATAGCTTGGGCCCATATTGGGAGCAACCAGGTGAGGTCACCGCTGTGTACAGTGGTAGTATATTAAGTCGATAAAGGCCGTTCGATTCTCGAGGGATATCTTCGCAAGGTTCCGGTCCCGGCAAGCCCACCTTGGGATGCTGCTTCAATCCGTCGGGCTTATTTTGTGGGCACCCATGAACCTGCTCTAGAGGGCGAAAAGCACCCAGTGATACTAAGCAAGTACCTGAGCTGGGATGCGTTTCAGCAGTACCTTCGGACTTGGTCGTCTTTGCACAACTATTTAGCTAGCCATCCGGACGACAAGGATAGTCAAGGGAGAGATATTGTTGATAGGTTCGTCAATAACGTGAGAGAGAAAGGAGAAGAACTCGGAGGCGACTTGGAAGAGTGGAAGCAGGGTTTTACGGCCGAGTGGCCGCTCGCGTTGATCCTCTTGCGCAAAGGGATTTGAATGATTATATGCGCATTCTTTTGATGAATGTATGCTAAGCGGCGTCTATTGATAATACAGGAGGTGTACGGCACCCCGCAGATCGACGGGGTGGCGTGAACTATCATACTTGTTTACTGGATAAGCCCCGACCGGTGAGTTTCAGCAGGGATCGGCACACTCCGAAGCTAGCACCGAGGGTAAATGTGCTGAAAACGTACGGCGTTGATATATCCAATATACTCCTTATCTTTTATGCTAGAAGAATCCTGCCAGCGATCAATGGGTTACCCCGCGACAGACTTCTCAATAACAAGAGGGGATAGAGTTAGTGCATGCATCAGGACTCAAAGACTATATTGAGTCGCATCAAATAACTCTCTCTTCGCTTCACCTCTAAGGTCGATCAGATGACATGTCGAGCTATTTTATGCTGGCCTGAGGGCAACAAAGGCGCTACGGCCATAGATACGAGTTGACGCTAGACTACTTTGCTACTCTGTTCTACGACCGATTGCTCTTATCTGCGAGGGACTATGAGATTTACAACTCTGATCGACGCCCAATTATATTACGTTGTGCTACAGATGGAACTCTCAGACACATGAACCTGCTGTCACAGCGAGAATTTTGAGGCGTGGTGGTCTCTGGGGGTTCACTTGCTGGAAACGGCAGGGTTGTCGAGTAAATAAAAGACCCTGATGTACGAAGACTCACATTGGTATTTTGATCTCTACCATGCGCTGAATTGATTGCAGGAACGAAAGCATCCATTCGGTTTTGTCCCGATTACGAAACGAAATAACAAGGGTGTTTGTAAGGAACGTTAAGCCCAAGAACACTCCAAGGATGGTCCCCCTGTAATCCGTGAGCATGCCATAGACACCTAGCGAAACTCGACTTACCCGACACTAGACATTGTAGTATCATCAGGATACGATACAATCAGTCCCGAATACCCGGATGCCAAGGCGATAGTTGTGAATACATAAACGACCAGAGGCCGGCCACCCTTTCGATATACGATATAAAAGCTAGCGAAAAGAACGAGGAAAGGAATGAAAACGACCCATCGACTAGTGATGTGTTAGAAAATGGGGGCTGTGAGCGCAATACAACTTACTGTCCTTGAATCCAAGCTGCCCAGTACAGCGGGAGATACACGGCAATAAACATGCCAGGCTAGAGTAAGAGTGTAAGATTTCGCAATCGTCAATCCAAGAGGACTTACAACGTGAGCGACGAGAGTGAAACAATCCTACAACTGAGTCAGGTACTATTTCGCGCCAAGTGGAGCCATTCAATTGCCTTGAAAATACTCAGCTCCATGATCAACACGAATATCAGCTGCCTATGCGATAATGAGCTACTTGCTTCGATATATTGTAGTATGAGTGCACTCACATCAGAATGGTTATTTGATCGTTGTTAGTACTAGAGCTATCCGCGCTACCTGACGACGGCTTGTTTGCAGAATCGTTTGTGGGTATTTGCGATCCAGTCGATATATTCTGGCCGTTTATGGGCCAAACTCTCGCGAGATGGTCAACATCCATGACCGTGGGTAGAACTCGGACAGATGGTACAAAGGCCCAAACAAGGACTAGAGCCGTGACGACGAAAGGCTGCCCAACAATGATCGACCTTTAATGGGTGAGTACATCAGAAGTGATCGACAAATCCCGACTTACACGATTTCAACGATGGGGTTATCAGGGTAGGCCACGACTAGTCCAAAACACCCAGATTCAAAGGCGATCGCACTGAACAAGTAATCGATCAGGTGGTATCGATTGCCTTGTTCATAAAAGGGACGAAATACGAGATAAGAATTAAAGAAAGGGATGAAAACGACCCATTGGCTGGTGGCATGTTAGAAAACAAACGGCATAGTCGCGATGCGACCTACTGATCTCGAATCCATGCAGCCGAGCTGTCGTGAAGTATGATATTTTTAAGGATATAACTGCCAAGCTAGGGCAAGGGTATAAGACCAACAACTGTCAGCTAGGTCAAACTCACGTACAATATTGCCAAAGATCAACGAGCATAACTGCAGCTGGGTTATGTGCTATTTCCGGGTGGAGCCATTTCACTTGCCTTGAGAATAAATAGCTCCCGAAGTGGCTCAGAGGCCATGGTCCTGTATGACAATGAACTGGCTGGTTTGGATTGCAATTGGAGTGCACTCACCTTAGCTCGTCCAGCAGGCGGTGATCAACACTAGGGCCATCCACGCTACCTGATAACGAGTCGTGGCTCTTCCCAGTGGGAGGTTCAGACATTTTGATGGCTACAAACTCTGTATCTTGCCGATTCGAGGATGGAGGCTGAGAGTCTGGGAGTGCTTGCTGGTCAGACATTGTTGCGGTTGGTGTGGGAAGAACGAGGACGGAGAGCTTTGATAGAGGCGCCCAATAGGTTCAAAACTATGATGGAGGACTAGGAGTCTGATAAAAGTTCTTGTGTAGCTCGTCTAAAGTCAAGCTAGCGTGTTAGCCGGCTGAAGAGGTTGAACTGGTGAGCAACGTCAGCTGCACGCGCCCAATTGGAGTTCCACATTGTGAGTGGATGATTTAGTTCTCCTTGGCCGCTACGTATTGTCTCGTCGATCTGCCATAAATGGTAGGATGGCCGGGTAACGTGTTGGGTGGCGAGATAAGCGCCACATGCTTGGTGGCACGCTCCATGATACCAGGCAGCGCCACCGTCTCTTTCTCCCCCAAAACCTCGAAATAAAATCAGCAAAAAATACTAAACAGTACTATAGTGTGTTATGCATCTACTGTATTATTATATGCGCAGGAAAAAAAATTTCACGTCGACATAAACGCCCGTTGGCATGTTTTAGCCCTGTAGCCGCTGTTTCGCCATTTCCAAAGCTAAAACGACGATTCCAAGTGGATTCCAAGCGTAAAAAAGAGTTCCCGCTAGCCGATTTGAACGACTGACCTCGTCATATTGATTACGTAAGCAAATAATCGTTCAAGACGGCCAAATTCTTACTAGTGACGCGCTCTACCACTGAGCTAAGCGGGAGTTATATGCATTAGCCTCATGTTCATAACAAAACCCCGCAGTATCATAATGATGTAATCCTTGATGGGTCTTCATGGCCTCGACAAGCCCTACACGCCAAGAATATATTAGGACTTCATCAGACATGTTTTGCCACACCGCCTAAACGGCTACGAACTATTATTTCCACAAGTCCAAAAGCAGAACGCACATACAGCCCAAATCAAACGACACTACTTCGTACATCCACAGGGTCTGAGCACTGGTTGAATAAATGGGAGGCTACGTTAGGGGGCTCGTGGAGGCATGGATAGGATCAAGCAGTACAACTGAAATAGTTCGGATGCTCTGGCGGAGCGCTGACCTTGCGTGCGTCCATCCACATATACACTCGTTATATCTCAATTGCGTTTTGAAACGCTTTTAAAATAGAAGCGCTACTTTGACCTGTCGGACAACTCCTCATAGAACTCTGGAAAGGAGCTCGACTACTCCGAGGTACAATTGCGTACAGTGAAATTGATCGCAACATTGTAGAAATCAAAAAGCGGTGAGTAGCGTGGGGTAATACAAAAGAAGAAGAAGAAACCAGAATGTAGTCATCTGGAGAACCAAGGAGAGCGCATATAGCCCCCAGCCAAAATCGGGTCGGCTACTAAGCAGCTCTATGCAAGCTAGTAGTTTCCGTAAGTCCGACGAGCGCGCCGTAACGAGTGATGCTATCGAAATCATAAAGACAACGTTCGATTCGCTCAGGTGGGGCCAACGTTTCAATATACATATCACTATTATAGAATCACTCCAGACTATATGCTACGTCAGGGGGTGGTATTCCCCTGCGTATACACCAGCCAAGATGCTGTTTCGTCTAGGGCATCATTATAGGGTATTCCATCGACTCGTACTTGTCCGGTTTGATGAGTATTTTGGCTGGTGTATACGCAGGGGAATACCACCCCCTGACATAGCATGTAGTCTGGAGTGGTTCCATCATATTGATATGTATATAGAAACGTTGGCCATAGCTAAGCGAATCGAACGTTATCTTTATAATTTCGATAGCATCACTCGTCATGACACACTCGTCGACACAGCGTTTTACCCACATCGGCGTTTATTTTTCGATCGGCTCAGACTTATGAAACCCGCCATAAACGAGTACCGGGAGCGCCCGCTCGTCAGCTTGGCTTGAATCAGGGTTTTAGCTTGCCCGGATTCTAGCTGAAATGCTCATTGGTGCACAGACCCTTGACTTGTCTCGAGCTTGGTCGCCAACCCCTCCCAGTCAGCGCAAATCCTGGTCTCGACTCCCTACGCCTTTACAACTGTTCAGCGTTCTTTCAAGTGGCGCTCAAATATCTCATCTGGAGCTTGACTGAGGCCTCGGACCATTGTGTACTGGGTCGTCCGGGCTTCGGGGCTCAGCCACACTACTAGACACTGGTGCCACCATCTACCCTACCCGACTCATCGTGATGTGTATGCCTCCTATGTTTGATTGACGTTTGCGAATCTCGTGTCCGCATATGACTTGACGCATGTGCTCGAAGATCAGGGATCATGATATGCAGGATGTCTAGCGATCCTGTGATCCTCACTATTTCGCTGATCGGATTCTAGATTTTGGCAGACGCCAGAGCTCTAGGATGACACTAGGCTTCGATTATAGGCAGTGCGGGTTGCATAAAAGCCTTACTCACACAACACCCCCTTGTACATATGAACTGGGCAGGCGAACGAGTGTCGCACTAAATACAACCTCAATGCTAATTTGTGGAACACATTGAGGAAAACAACAGGCGCTGTTGTCGTCAGTTTATAGCGTCCAAAGAGGAAAACCGATCGGTTTGGGTTCCTGCTCCTCGAAGCGATGCACGGACGGTGTTTGTGGGCCGAGCTATATAGCCTGCTGGACGTGGAGACCCCAACTCTTCCGCTTCGTTTCTTTTGACCATGTCTTCAAGTAGCCCAGCCAACGTAAAGTGCCCTGCTTCTCCTGTTCGAGACTTTTGCAATACGATTGTAGCGAATCCAGATATATCCATAGGCGCTTTCTCATATTGCAACTTGAACCATTTGACAAACTGATTGGCACAGGGCATTGGGGTGAGTTGCGCACATGGACACGGGCCGACATGCCTAACACACATTAGATTCGCGTTGCAATATATGTACAAACTCTCATCAATATGGTGGGGTAGTCGAAAATCCATTGTCACGTAGCTCCTAATCCCCTGTATAGGCAGTCGCATCGTGGCTACACGAAAACGAAAAGGCTTTTCGTGACACCTCTCGGAACTCCTTTACTATTTCAGGGGGCTTGATCATCTCCTCGCTAATTACTTGGAAAACGCGGGGACTGAGTCTGTTTGACGCCCTTATCGTATCCATGGTACGTGTCAGAATTTGGCCTGATTCCACTCTAACGCATATACGCGCAGCTTACTACCATCAGCACGGCTTTTGTGTCGGTCAACTTTCCCTATGTATGTCCCCCTTCTCATTACACAATGTTTTGCTCATGGGGAGCAGATCCGAACTTTGGGCCTCTCTATCAACGTTGCAAGCCTGGTATTCACAGCCTTTTGGTGCTACTGGGGCCTGCAAATATGGTCCAGTCCGTCGACATTTGGTCTTCCACCTGGTATTGCCGACTGCACCGCTAATAAAGATACCAAATTTGTTGCCTTTGTTACAGTTAGTCCCTTGAACCCGGGACTGCGCGGCTTTGCGCTATTCATATTCGCTATTGGCGTAATTCCTGCCCTTGGATCATTACGTTACTCGATCGTGTGGCTCTTGCGATATTGGCGAACTGGTTCGGAAATAGCCAAGGATAATGCGGCCTATAGATTTGCAAAGGAAATGCGGCGCAAGAGGAAGAGTAAGTTGCGTGCTTCGATAGACAGTGATGTTGGCTCAATACCGAAAAATAGCCCACATAACCCGCTTCGGTGGATTGACCGGTTTGATTTACATGATAATCACTACAGAAGTGATGATCGCGCGGAATGCCAGCACGAAAGAAGCACTGAGTAAATGGTCGTACGGTCAAGTTATCGCAATCGCTATGCTCGGGCAGCAGATACTCGACTCTTTCTCATACCTCAAGCAGCTAGTCAACGAGAAACACCGTAGGCTAGTGCAGCACAGGCAATCTAATCAGTAGCGCTTTTCAACCCATTGGAGTGTGTTTCTTCTTCTGTATAACCTATGTTCCATGATATTTGAATTTAATATATCTATTAATCGCGGGTTATATTGACGCGTAGTGCTTTAAGACGAGAATGAATGGTGTATGCTGGTAGATTTGAATGGTTCTGCAGTGACACAATTTCACACGCGATAGAACATCACCCCGGCGCTTATGGTAACACTGAGATTCAACCTCCATGTCCGACGCCCCAGCTCCCATCTTCAAGCGCACAAAATCAAGGCCCAACCGTGCTCGTCCGCCCTCTCCGGAGCCCGAAAATGATGCAGTCCAAGAAGAAGAGCAAAGTCCGGGAGCCATGAGCCTCATGGCCAAGATGAAGAATAAGAACAAGCAAAAGACGCGCACAAAGTTGAGCTTTGGGCAAGATGAAGAGGTGAGCGATCATGAAACTCGTGAGAAAAGTTCTGATTATATTGAATGGGGTAGAATGGGGCAGAAGGAATGACTCCAAAGCGGACAGAGTCAGGAAGAAAGAGCAAGTTGGCCAACCCCGCTGTGTATGTGTTACGTCAATTCTTTGTGTTTTTAACTTATATGGTCCAAGTGTTCGAATGCCCGAGTCGCTTGATCAGGCTAGTATATCCCGAACGAGCTCTGCCCCGGTATACGACAAAGCCTACTTGGACGAACTCAAGGCAGCCACACAGTCAGCACCTGCGCCCACATCTGGCCCACAAGATGTGGAAGTGACACTGGGAATTGACGAAGCAGATGGTGCTGTGGTAGTCGACGACGGCATGGACATAGGCGACGTTTTCGACAGTACGTCCATCTCTGGCACTCTTCTATTATTGACTCACATCTTTGGCTAGCGCGCCCAACTGAAATACCAATGTCGTCTGCAGTTATCGAAGCCAAGAAAAAACGAGAACGAATGCGTCTTGCTGGTCAAACCGCGCCTCAGGAAGACTTTATCTCATTATCGGTAGCGCGTCGAGATGATGTGGACACGTACCAAGGGCCACACCCGGAAAGTCGGCTCATGAGGGAAGACGATGATTTAGGAGAAGGGGATGACGATGATGCAGAGTATACCGGTGCACAGGAGCGCATTGCTTTGGGAAAGAAGGGGAGGAAGGAGGCAGAGCGACAGCGCAAGGCGGGGATGATTGAAATGATCGAGGATGTGTAAGTGTTTCCTTCCAGGATTCGACTTGTTTTAATATGACGCAGCGAGGAGGACGATGAGGAGACTCGAGCTTGGGAGCTGGCGCAAGTCAGGAGAGGGGGCAACAACAGTCGCACAAACATCGTCGAGGAAAAGCAAGTGTACAAAGCAGCTCCAAGTACGTTGCATTCGCCTACGCTTTACCGTCAACTGATGTGCGTTTAGTACCAATCCAGACGCCAGTGCCTACGCTTGATCCTGCAATTACTCGTCTCACCCAAGCTTTGACCAAACTTACCACTTCGCACGCTGGAAACACAAAGTCTTTGACCTCCCTCGGCGACGAACGCTCATCACTCGAAGAACAAGAAACAAAACTGCGGGAGCTTGTAACTGAAGCCGAGGAGAAGCGTGCTTGGTTCAACGGCTTCAAAGAATGGATGGATAGTCTAGCAGACTTTTTGGATGAAAAGGTTGGCTATTAATATGTCTACTAGTTATTGCTAACTGTTCGATAGTTTCCGATGGTCGAAAAGATCGAAGAGGACTTTGTGTCCCTTCTCACTGAACGAGCCGAGATGGTAGCAAAACGACGGCGTGAAGATCTCGACGACGACCTATCCCTTTTCTCAGGTGCCCTTCCGACTGACGAAACTGCCATGGAAGTCGACGATCTCGGGCGAGCACTTCCTAGCT